AGCAAATCAGGCATATGATGCAAAGAAGTTAACAATCCCAATCGACCGAGCACAAAAGCCGCTAGTGCAGAAAATGGGGCCAAATAAGCGCAAAGAGGCAACATATTTTGTATTTTCTGCGCCGCTAGCGACCATAATCCCTGCTTATGCACCAAGTACGCCTCACTTGAAGACAGGAAGAAGATATTTTTGGACCAAGATAGGTGCTTGAACTGCGGTATGCCAGGTCATTTCACAAAAGCTTGCACCAAGGAAGGGTGTAGGTTATGTGACGGCAAAAAGCACCATCACACCCTCTGTCCAATACGGACGAAATCAATGAGCACGACACCAACACGATCAGAGTACCACAGGAAGGAAACACGCACCACCCCAGCACAGATGGACGTGCAAAAGCGAAATTTTCCCAGTGGACCAGGGAGACATCAACCCAAGAAGCCAGCTACAGTGCAGGCGCATGCGGTGGATACAGAAGCATGCACAACTAGATTAAATGGGTCACAGGGAAGTGACCATAGTGACAATCTAACTGCTGTTCTCTCCACAGTCAGGAATCAGGGCATTCCATGTGGTAATGAAGCAGTTAGTTCAAAAGGGAAAAGCAATGTCTTGCTACTGACAGGGGTAGCCAAGGTAAAGGAACCCCTAAATAAGCAGTGGAAGAATGTTGAACTCCTACTGGATACGGGTGCTGATGAGTCATTCATCACCACTGAGCTGGCTAATGAACTTGGGCTTGAATGTAAGGCGCAAAAACAACTCAAAGTCTACACCTTCGGCACACAAACACCTAAAGAAACTACATGTGGCACTACAACACTGGAGCTTTGGGATGCAGAAGGGACAAAGCATACGCTACAGCTCCACACTGCACCAATACTCATGGCGACAAGCAAGATGGCGCATCTCAGTGCCGAAGACTTGGAATTCATTGCGCAGCAAAAAATCAGCTTATCCAAGCCTGAATGGAAGAGCGCATCGAAACCACAGATCCTTGTGGGATGTGACCAATTGTGGGCACTTTTGAACGTTTCCTACCCATACTTACAAGCTGCCCTCAGGGTTTGCAGCTTGTCCCCTCCAAACTTGGATACTTGCTCACAGGACGTCAAGAGGCGCAAGAGTTGAGCAAACACAGAAATGAAGCAAGAAATCACTCCCAACAGTAATTAACACGCTTGTAAACTACGATGAAGATTTGGAAAGGTGGGACAAATACTGGACCCTGGACTCTGCAGGCATATGCGAGTTCACTGGAACAAAGAACGCGGAAAAGGAAGCAACTAATGCAAAAGTTGCGGCATTCTTTGAGGAAACAATTCAAAACGCTCAGATGGGTATTATGTGCGCTTCCCATATAAAGAGAACCACCCAACATTACCTACCAATAAGGCTATTGCGCTCAAACGTCTGCAGTCAGTGATCGGATCTCTCAAAAATACGCCCACATTATTGGAAGCATACGACAAAACTTTCAAAGAACAGAAGGAGATGGGAATAATAGAGGAGGTTTCAGATGCACCCTGCGCAGATAACACCATAATACATTATATCCCTCATCAACCGGTGATTACACCCCATAAGGAGACCACCAAGTTGCGCATCGTATTTGACGCCTCAGCGCACTTCAGAAACAACCCATCGCTTAACGATGTGCTTCATCAAGGTCCTCTCATACTCCCAGAAGTGTACGCCATGCTATTGAGATTTCGGATCCCTAAGTACGTCGTTATATCCGATGTGAGAAGGCATTTCTCCAAATACACCTACAGAAACAGACAGAGACGCAACAAGATTTCTATGGGTAAAGGATCCCAACGCACCGATCGACAGAGACAACATTGTTACGCTACGCTTCACTCGGGTAACATTCGGACTGAATGTCTCGCCGTACCTTCTAGCCGGAACCATACAACACCACCTAAAATACGAAGTAGATGATCACGATCTCACTGAAGAAATTCGCCAGAATCTTTACGTGGACAATCTTATACTCTCTGCAGACACCGAAGAGGAATCGAGAAGGAAATCTCTCAGAGCACGCGAAATTTTCCAAGAGATGGGAATGAATTTGAGGGAGTTCCTCTCCAATGACGCCAGGTTACGCGAAAAGTTACCTCAAGACTCATACACGAAATCCACCAAACACAAAGTTCTGGGGATTGATTGGAACTCTGAAAACGATTGCTTGAGTATTAGTTGCAAAGCATCGTCACCTAGCACTTTGACGAAACGGGAAGTCATGCGCCAGATTGCTTCAATTTATGATCCGTTGGGGTGGCTCGTGCCATTACTAATGCCGGCAAAGAAGTTCCAGCAGGACTTATGGAAACAACGCTACACCTGGGACGCCAGATTACCATCACCAGTCGCCGCCCAATGGAACACTATCGTTGAAGACATCGACGGGTTTCAGAAAACATTCCACAGGCGCTTCGCTGACAATGCCGAACCACTGAACCTGGCCGTCTTCGCTGATGCCAGCGAAAGCGCAATTGCAGCATGCGCTTATCTTTTCAATGGACTCTCTTCCACACTGGCAATGGCAAAGGGAAAGTTACCATCGGTGAAAACGCGACTACAATGCCAAAGTTGGAGATGAACGCAATGACTTTGGCTGTGCGCCTAGCCTTTTTCTATAACGCAAGCAGTGAAGCACTGCATTCCCTCATATCCATGGACTATATATGTATTCTCTGACTCACAAATAGCGCTAAGTTGGCTATCCCCATCTAAACGAAGCGGCCTAGGAGTGCTAGTTACCAACAGACTGCGTGAAATACGCAGGATCGTTCACAAATTAGGAGAAGAAAGAGTAATTGTGAAGTTCGCCTACGTGAACACCTCGGAAAATCCGGCCGACGTGGGAACACGAGGACTATCAAGATGGCAGTTGGACGACCACATATGGTGGACAGGCCCATCCTTTTTACACAACCAGTGAAATACTGGTACAATACATTTTATCATCTTGCTGCAGGAAGAGAACACATCTGAGGGGCAATTCCATGACGAGGTGTGTGAAGTAAATGCAGTAGGAAGCCAAAGTTCACCAGTCACCGAGTTACTCTGTTGGGAGCGGCACAGCTCGCTCACCACAGCGAAGAGAGTGACCGCCATTGCACTTCGTTTCATCAAGAGATTGGTGCGCCACTTGAGCCATGATGTCAGAAGTAGAATTTTCACAAATGTTCCAGAACTGAAAGACGTCTCAGACGGCGAGAGTACCCTGAATGGGACTGATGTATCAAAAGGGCGCCTGGCTCTTATACGAAATCACCAATTCGTGCACTTATCTCACCATTACCGAAAGGTCAATGGAAAACACCTTAAGACTGTACAAAGATGCCAACCTTTTATGGAGATCGAAGGGAAGGTTGGGAAACGCCATGCTTGAAGACGAAGCTAAAAGCCCATTTTTCATTGCGCCCAATACACCATTGGCCAAATTGGTAATTCATGAAGCACATGGAGATCTTCACAGGGGCATTGAACACACGATAAGCAAAGTACGCGAACAAGTACTGGGTCCCTAAACTGCGCCAACAAGTTAGGAAGGTGGTAAGTGCATGTGTCAAATGTCGACGGTTTAACGCACTACCGTATAGCTACCCAGATACGACAGACCTTCCTAGGCAACGGGTCGTTGAATGTCGCCCGTTCCAAAATACAGGGTTGGATTTCTTCGACCTGCCGTCTTGCAAAGAAGACGGAAAAATAATCAAATTGTACGGGTGCATTTTCACATGCACTGGTTACGCGTCTTATTCACATAGAAGTTGTACGAAGCATGGCTACTGAGGAATTCATAAACGCACTTAGACGATTCATTGCGCGCAGAGGACTCCCACAAACAATAACCTGTGACAATGCACCAACCTTCTTGCTCACGGAGAAGCATTCTGGGCAAGGTAGGACGGAAATCAAAGCAGATATCGGACGTGAAATCGCAGACAAGGAAATCCGTTGGAACCACATAACGCCGTACGCCCCATGGCAAGGAGGATTTTATGAGCGCCTTATCAAATCCATAAAGCATGCAATCTACAAAACATTGAGAGGCGCAAATCGACGCTCCTTCGACGACATTTGCACCTTTGTTGCCGAAGTAGAAGCGAGTTTGAACTCTAGGCCACTCACCTATCAAGGAGAAGCTCATGAAACTATGAGCTCCATTCGCCCAGTAGACTTTATAGTCAGAAATATGACACTGACGCTTCCAGTTCCCGAAGATAATAGCACAGATGAAGGTGATCCTGATTATTTACCTTCGGATGGAACGCGTCCACTACATTACCGACGACAGGTAATAAAAGCGCTCCAATCATCAAATCAGGAAGCAGAACGTTTCTGGAATATTTGGCAACAACAATACTTGCTTTCTCTGCGAGAGACGCACAGGAGACAAGTATCTAATCGCCGACAGGGAAGCGAACATCCAGAGATCGGTGACGTCGTCTTGGTTAGCGACCCTGTCCTGCCAAGGAACGAATGGAAAATGGGCCGCATAACGGAGTTGAAACGCAGTCGTGACGGCGAAGTGCGCGAAGCAGAGCTTCTTACAAACACAAAAAGAAAAATACGCCGTCCCATAAATCTGTTGATTCCGCTCGAAATTCAGGAAGCACGAATCCCTAAAGGCAGCGCACGTACACAGGTTACACCTTCCTCCGGTAAGAGTAGTACAAATGAGATGGCTGAATCAAGAGCGCGCACACGACCTTACAACTTGAGGCCACGAACCCCAAAGAGTGACGCGCAGGAAGCGAAATACGGCAACAATTGGTTAGTAACGCCCGGCGCCTTACTCCTAAATGGTTTCTATTTCCACATCATGATTCTTTCGCTTATCCAAGTCTGTTCGGGTTGCGCGACGCCTCCTGGGGGTCTTGAGATGCGCCAAGAAGGGGTTCTACTTACAGTCACAACAGCGCCCCAAGTTCTTGATACGTGTGCAAATGAAATGAGAACCAAAAATGTTTTTACGGGCACTCACTTGAATAAGCTTTCAACGATAATCTCTTCCGATGGTCAATTATCTCTACAATACGTTGCGTGTGATAATTGCGCCTGTGTTCACATCACCAACGAAAAAGCTTGGTTATTCCAAAAGGAGTTGGGAGCTAGCATTAGCGCACGTATGCTCACCACCCTTTGGTTAGCGCTATCAATTTTACTACGAGATCCATCATGCATGTTCCCAGATAATGCGAAACATCTTCCACATGTTCCCACAACACGTTCGCGATACTGTTGGATACTATTAATGCGCCATCTTCTTTTAAGACTTTATGCGCACTAATGACCACAAAAAAAATAAGAAAGTGGAAGACAAATGTATGTTTAGTATATAAAAAAAATCAATCTAGTATTTTTCCAATTGTTTGAAGCTAACATTTTGAATTACAAAAAAATGGTACAAAAAAAAGTAAAGTAAAGTAAATCTAGAAGCACCTGAGGAAAAAGCGCCTCAGTGATTCTCATCAACTTTGAAAATCATGTAGCAGTATTAGAATGATAGAGCTCGTTCAGAGTCAACGTGCGCTCACAAGTTATCTTCATCGTAGGTGCGCCTTGTAAACACATTCGACTATTAGTATGGACGCTGAGGTAAATCAGAAATTAGGTGCGCCTTTTAATGATTTCTGAAAAAATGAATGTCTCATTTCAGAACGTAAACGAAGTTGAAAATTTGAAGCAACAGTTGCATCAGACACAGAGAAGCCTTCATCAGCTGAAGCGTGCCATCCTCCTCTTCCGGAACCTGGTGTTCTGTATGACAAGATCGTCGTGCTTTGTACTGATCATTACACTCATACCCAAGCTGTCACTTCTATCGAAGAGAAAGTTCGTAGGCTGCGCTCCTCTGATAAGTCTTCTCAGCAACGCATCTCAGAGATAAGCTCACTCAATCTTGAAATTGATTACCTCTATCTGCAATTTCGCTTCTGTAGGTCTCAGTTATTGACTTTTTTCTCCCTTCCACCCTTGCTCATCGCAATGGACAAGATGACGAAGCAGTACTGGGAGACCCTTATGAGCCAACCGCAAGAAGTCAGTCACAACAAAGCGCTGATAATGGACATGGATAGTCTGGAGGACATCACCTCCGACCAACTTCAGATGCTGAATTCCCTCCGATCCTCACTCAACGATCTACGCATAGAGGCTCAAAACGACACAGAAGAGGAGCGATTGACATTTGAGAGGGAAGTTCGAGACAGACTCGATCAAATACAGAAGCTTGCCCTCGGTCTCCAGGACGCCGTCGTGAATCCTTCGCGCGAACCACATGCAGCAAATCAAGAGGCGGGCGAGGGAATCCGCAGGATTCGCGAAGAGAACGACGTAATAAGGGACAACGAAGGATTCATCGAAGGAGTGATGGAAATGGACGAAAGCGAGGCTGAAGACGAAGACGAAAGCGAGGCTGAAGACGAGGAACAAGAAGCTGAAGAAGATTTGGACGATGACAATATGGACCACCTCGCTCACGATGACCTTTCAGACAGTGAGGAAGAACGTGAAGAACACGAAGAGGAGCATAGGCCGGATGATGAAGAGTTGGACCGCAACCATATCCCTGATGACATTCCACAGAGAGAAGACAGGAGACGAAGTGCGATTCAGATCGAACAAGAGATTCGTAGTGCTGAGCAGGCGGTTCGTAACTTCGAAGAAATCTTTGCATCAGTACGAACACGAGCCCCTCTGCCCACCACGTCGCTTTCAACCAAGGGCAAATCACTAAGGGGTTCGAACGCTATATGAAGTGCGCCTATTGTGAGGCCATAGGGCTTCACTACTCAGACTCTTGTACCACATACGCGACCCGTTTGCAAGAAGGGAAATGATTACACGTACAGGTCGATGTCGCACGTGTCTCGAGCGAATGTGTTCACGTGGATCTACTTGTAAGAAATACATCACGCCATGTTATTATTGCCGTGAACGAGGCCATCACAGCTCACTATGCGACTTCCCCGAGCACAGTGATTACATACGTTCTCGTTTGGAAGCCGCACGCGATGGGAGGATCAGGAGCCTGAATAAATTGCATGACCTTCGACGCGAGCTGGCTTATATTGGATATATTCACTAAATTAGTGCGCCACACCCGAGTCCAGACTTTCTGTTTGATTTCCTTTGGCTCGCGGGGAATATCGCGGTTGTTTGACCGCGATCAAATTCTTCTTGTGATCTTCCAATTGGGTGGCCAGTATATCGGAATTGCGCGCATTTTATTGGTTTTTGGACAAACAGGGCGATATATAGCGCCTCCAGACCTCCACAGACGGCTCATTTTTTGTCTTTCTATTCTTGGATTCTTCCTGTCTACTACTCTTCCTAATAGATCCTGTTATTCGTTGAAGTTACTACAGACGGGTTAATAAATTGTTATTGTTGGACAGTATCATCTCGTGTACGAGTATCACGCGTGGCAGCGAGAATTATCTGCACAGATATATATCCATATATCCTTTTTATGGTGCATCGGAATATCGGACTTCGGCCCTGAAAAGCGCAGGTGGGACTTCAGATTGAAACTTCATTTGAGATTTCAACTGTTGTGCGCCGTAAACTTAACAAGAGTATCTTCTACCTTTTGCGCCAACGAAATCTTCGGGGATTTTTGCGCCTCCAGACCTGTTTGGATACGCACGGCGCCGGCAGTTACCCTTTATTTTTTGACTTGATTGATTGATTGATTTTGACATTGCACATATTATTGATTTTTATTGACTTCTTTGAGGCCTGTTTTCTTAAGGCTTGAGTAACATAGAAAAAGTCTAAGTGTGCGCATCTTCCTGTTAGGCTCATTTCAAAGTTCTTTCAAAGTTCTGCGCCGAACGTTCTGTTGAGTGAGGCTTCCTTTCTTGTCCTGTCAGGCTCAATTCAAAGTTCTTTCACAGTTGAGCGCCAAAAGTTTTTAAACGAGTCCTCTTTCAAAACTTTTCATAATAACTGAGGTTTTTTTAATCAGTAACCAGTCTTGTCCGCTGCATAAAAATGGTTGGGCACACATCATTGCGATCACAAAAAGCGCTCCTCACGCGTTATTGTAATAACCTGAATGGGTTCGTTGAAGAGTGCAAATGCCTGGATATCTTAAGTCCTTCTACTTTACGGGATTCGGAGGCTTTGCTGAAAATCGAGTCGTCAATGTTTCAACTGAGGGCCACTGCAAAACAAGTGGAGGATGCGCTGTCAACTTTCACAGCATCGATTGATGCACTGGTAGAACCCCTCTCGGAAGAACAAGAGGTCCAAACGCAGGAATACGTGGAAAAGACGCACGAAGCGCTGGAAAGAGCGCAAGCACTAGCCATCAAAATAGAGGGCAATTTAATCAGTGCGCAGAACCGTATACAAATGGACTGGCGTAACACTGATTACGGAACCTCCACGATGGAACGCCTTGAGGCCACCAGGCCAAAGCTTCCCACCGTACCAGTTCCGACCTTTTCAGGAAGGCTGGTAGAGTTTGAGAATTTTTGGGCGCTCTTCGACGCCAACATTCACAGTCAACCCCTCTCCCCACTCCTCAAATTCAACTATCTCATCAAGGCGCTGCGGGGTGAAGCGCAAGAGTGCGTCCGAAGGTTCACTGTCACCGCTGACAACTACACGCACGCGATCAACTTCCTTCACGCCAAGTATGGGGACAAATCAAGGCTAATAGACCATTTACAAACGCGCTTGGAGAAAGCACGCGCAGAAAAGCCAACCCTCGAAGGACAGCGAAGCTCCTCGAGTACATCTGGCCTACTGTGACCCAACTGGAGGAGCGAGGAGTTTCGCTCAATGGTTCGTTCATCACTCAAAAGATACTATCGAAGTTCCAACCAGACATTCAACGGAAGGTTCTTGAACGTCGCTTGAAGAGCCCAATGACAGAGCACACATGGATGATGCAGGACATACTGAAGGACTTTAGATCAGGTCATAGAGACTGAGGAACAAATCAGGCACATGATGCAAAG